ATCTCTGCTTGGTGCAGAACACCTTGGACAGGCACAAATGAAAGTGTTTGTGGACAAACGTCTGTGTGAACCGCCAGATAGTGACCAGCACTTGGATCTGAAGTCACCCATTCGAAAGAACAAAGCCAAAACATTTGCCTCTTTGTATGAAGTCATGCAACTTTCCAAGAACAAGCAAAACATCATCAAAGTGGACAGGCAGATTCTACAAAGGCTCATCACAGCTTACAGAGCAGGTCGCAAGGTAGACCTGGAAAATATTCTCCAGCATGAACTCATGCCCATCCCGCTATCTCTGGCCACAACTAACGGCAGTCTACATTCCACCAACAAATCTGTTTTAGCAAATATACTGACAAAAAATATCGAAACCCCTGCAGATGTGCCCCTTCAGGAACCCTGCTGCTTTCTTATTGATGGCCAAGCACTTGTAATGGCACTTGGGAAGCCACCTGACATCACAACATTCGGCAACTATGCCAACAAGTTTGCTGACACAGTGTTGAAGATGGCAAAGAAGTACCAGAGGGTTGATGTAGTCTTCGACAGGTACCATGACGAATCCATCAAAACAGGCACAAGAAAGAAGCGTAAACAGCGCCACCGACCAGTACGCAGAGAGATCGTGAATGATTCTGTTCCACTTCCAGCAGACTGGTCGAGCTTCATGGCACTGGAAGAGAACAAAGCAGATCTTGCTCGACTACTCTCAAACCATCTGATAGAACACAGCCCAGAATATGAGCCAGTGGTTGTAGTATCAGGTGGGTTTGCTGAAACGACCACTGTCAAGTCATCAGATCCAGAACTTGAAATCTCCTCTCTGAGTGCTGACCATGAGGAGGCTGATACACGACTGATTTTGCACTGCATCCAGGCTCCTATGGACACAATAGTCGTGTCAGCGCGTGACACAGACGTGCTTCTTCTACTTCTAGCACATCATGACAGAATTGGATGTACCCATCTCTACATGAAAGCCGGGACATCAAAGGATCCAAAGTATTTTCCAGTACATGACATTCGCAAGTTACTCTCTGATGATCAAGTGGACACACTCCTTGCCTTCCATGCCATCACTGGCTGTGATAGTGTATCTCAGTTCAGCGGTCACGGAAAGAAAACAGCCTGGCAGGTGTTTGAGCAACATCACACCGATCTTACTGGCCTTGGGAAGGGCCCTCTCACAGAAGATATTGTGAATTCAACTGAGAAATTCATCTGTAAGATATATGGTGTGCCTGAGGTTGATACATGCAACAAAGCAAGAGTGAAGTTGTTTTGCAAAGGTCATCCACAAGAGACTCTGCCTCCAACCTCAGATGCAGTGAAGTTTCATATCATGCGTTCACACTATCAAGCGACAATCTGGAACCAAGCTCACCTGCCACATCCTGATCTTCCTCCAGTGGATGAAATGGGATGGATGCACAAGGAAGGTCAATTAGTGCCACGGCTAATGTCTTTGCCACCTATGCCTAAAGCCTGCAGGGAGTTCACTTCATGTCGGTGTACCAAGGGATGCCTCAGCCAACGCTGCAGCTGCAGGTCTGTGTTTAGGGAATTAGCTGATGTTGATCATTGTGTACAAGAATGTACAAACATGATAGACTGGTAGAGTATTCCAATGTACCTGTACTTGTACTTGTTGTAATCTTTCTATTCAATTCTTCTATTATTCAGAAACAGTCGCATGGAATGTATAGACGCATGCAACTGCAGGAAACTTGACAACACTTGCCAGAACATTGAAGAGGACTATGAATAGGCTGTCACTGTAACTTCTACTGGGATATAGTTCAATTAATATCACCAGGACCCATGGATCTTCCTGCTTTTGGATCTTATTTGATTGACAACTTCTTTATTCACTAATGACCACCTTTTTCTCTATACTTGTTTGATTATCAAGCTGATTATTGACACTTGATCTAAATCAGGACAGGATGTTAAATTCCCCATGTGTGAAAACCTGTGAACATTTAATTAAAGTTTGTAACTTTTTGTATTTGTTTGTACATTTGACCTCAAAACAAAATACAAACTAAGTAAAAGAAGCCTGATAATATTAATAATAATAACTGAATTAATAATGAGTTAATAATAGTTTGTAGTTAAAAACAACTATTTTTGCAATATCTAAGCAGTTTCTTCACATTACATCTCAAATCTGAATATGGCATTGAATTGCCCATGTAGCAAAACTTACAAAAGCACATTTATTTCATGTTTGTACCTTGTTTAGTCAAAAAGATATACTGAAAAATAGATTTCAGCCTGGCGGTGGCGGCCATTTTGAATTTCTCAATTTTGAGGCATTTTGGGAAATCTTTGAGCTTCATATACAGCAGATTTGGATTCAGCACCCCTTAAAACCCTTAGAAATGTTTTACAATATAAATAATCACAAAATGCCTTCGGGGTTCTGATTTTGTGAAAATTGACCCTGTCTATAAGCCGATGGTACAGATTATGTGTCCCTAAAGAACCCGCGTATCTAACGGTAGTTCCGCATTACATTAATTAATTCGCACGCGAGTTTTATTTATTTTTATACCGTGTATTCTCCGTGTAAATTCGTGCACCGAACTGTGACGCCCGTACCGTTTCGGTTCGATACGAATACATGTACCGTTCCACCCCTAATATATATACACTCACCTAAAGGATTATTAGGAATTTCAATTTCTCATTAATGCAATTATCTAATCAACCAATCACATGGCAGTTGCTTCAATGCATTTAGGGGTGTGGTCCTGGTCAAGACAATCTCCTAAAATCCAAACTGAATGTCAGAATGGGAAAGAAAGGTGATTTAAGCAATTTTGAGCGTGGCATGGTTGTTGGTGCCAGACGGGCCGGTCTGAGTATTTCACAATCTGCTCAGTTACTGGGATTTTCACGCACAACCATTTCTAGGGTTTACAAAGAATGGTGTGAAAAGGGAAAAACATCCAGTATGCGGCAGTCCTGTGGGCGAAAATGCCTTGTTGATGCTAGAGGTCAGAGGAGAATGGGACGACTGATTCAAGCTGATAGAAGAGCAACTTTGACTGAAATAAGCACTCGTTACAACCGAGGTATGCAGCAAAGCATTTGTGAAGCCACAACACGCACAACCTTGAGGCGGATGGGCTACAACAGCAGAAGACCCCACCAGGTACCACTCATCTCCACTACAAATAGGAAAAAGAGGCTAAAATTTGCAAGAGCTCACCAAAATTGGACAGTTGAAGACTGGAAAAATGTTGCCTGGTCTGATGAGTCTCGATTTCTGTTGAGACATTCAGATGGTAGAGTCAGAATTTGGCGTAAACAGAATGAGAACATGGATCCATCATGCCTTGTTACCACTGTGCAGGCTGGTGGTGGTGGTGTAATGGTGTGGGGGATGTTTTCTTGGCACACTTTAGGCCCCTTAGTGCCAATTGGGCATCGTTTAAATGCCACGGCCTACCTGAGCATTGTTTCTGACCATGTCCATCTCTTTATGGCCACCATGTACCCATCCTCTGATGGCTACTTCCAGCAGGATAATGCACCATGTCACAAACCTCGAATCATTTCAAATTGGTTTCTTGAACATGACAATGAGTTCACTGTACTAAAATGGCCCCCACAGTCACCAGATCTCAACCCAATAGAGCATCTTTGGGATGTGGTGGAACGGGAGCTTCGTGCCCTGGATGTGCATCCCACAAATCTCCATCAACTGCAAGATGCTATCCTATCAATATGGGCCAATACTGAAGGCGAAAGGGGGTCAAACACAGTATTAGTCTGGTGTTCCTAATCATTTAGGTGAGTGTATATACAGGTGAAACTCGAAAAGTTAGAATATCGTGCAAAAGTTGTAATTTTGATGATTATGGCTTACAGTTTATGAAACCCCGAAAATGAGAATATTACATGAAATCGATAAAAAAAGGATTTTAAATACAGAAATTTCGGCCCTCTGAAAAGTGTGATCATGCATATGTATATAGTTATATATACTAAATATATTAGTTTTGACCTTTTAATTTGAATTAATGAAATACACAAACTTTTGCACGATATTCTAATATTTCGAGTTTCACCTGTGTGTGTGTGTGTGTGTGTGTGTGTGTGTGTGTGTGTATATATAAATATATATAATAATTAAGTATATATTAAGTATAGTATTTAGTATATATTAAGTGTGTAATAATTCTCATATACTGTGTATGTATATATATATATATATTCTTGACCGAAGTACTTTAATTTTTACAGTGAAGACTACAGTATATGCAGTGTTTTTTGTTTTTTTTTTACATTTGATTACTTTATTCCATTTCAAACACAATTCTGACTTCATATCTCACAATTGTGAGATAAAAATTCTCAATTAACTTTTTTTATTTTTTTTAACTTTTTTTATTCAGTGATGGAAACAAGCTTCCATAGTTTTCTATGTGTAATATGTTTTAAAGTGTAATTTAATCCTGTGATCAAAGCTGAGTTTTCAGCATCATTACTCCAGTCTTCAGTGTCACATGATCCTTCAGAAATCACTCTAATATGAGGATTTGATGCTCATAAATAACATTGCTAATTATTATCAATGTTGAAAACAGTTGTGCTGAGTTTTGTGATACAATACCACTCTAAAGCTCGAGGGTAAGATTAACATAATAATAATAAATGAAAAATGTATGTACAATGCATGATCAACAGTGACAGTAAAAACATTTATAATGTTACAAAAGATTTCTATTGCAAATAAATGCTATTCTTTTGAACTTTCAATTAATCGAAGAATCCTGAAAAAAAAATTTTTATCAGAGTTTACACAAAAATATGAAGCAGGAGAAACTGTTTAAATTGTAATAATATTTCACAATATTACTGTATTTTTGATCAATTAAATTCACCTTGGTGAGCAGAAGAGACTTCTTTCAAAAACATTAAAGAATGGTATGGCAATATACTGTTATTATATCTGTCCGTCTATATTTAACCCCTGTGATTCTCCACAGCTCTATCACGACTTCGATGGGTCCGGCTTTCGGAGGAAAGCAAAGATGTACATCAGGGATCTGTGGAACATTCTGGATGTGCTGTCAATCATGCTGTTCATTTCTGGTCTGGTCTGCAGGTCAACACAACCACTATTTCACTAAATACCATTCAGATGTGATTAATATTAATTCAGTACAGTTCATGTTTGCCTTATTAAAGGGTTAGTTCACCCAAAAATGAAAATGATGTCATTAATGACTCGCCCTCATGTCGTTCCAAGCCCGTAAGACCTCCGTTCATCTTCAGAACACAGTTTAAGATATTTTAGATTTAGTCCGAGAGCTTTCTGTCCCTCCTTTGAAAATGTATGTACGGTATACTGTCCTTGTCCAGAAAGGAAATAAAGACATCATCAAAGTAGTCCATGTGACATCAGTGGGTTAGTTAGAATGTTTTGAAGCATCGAAAATACATTTTGGTCCAAAAATAACAAAAACTACGACTTTATTCAGCATTGTATTGTCTTCCGGTTCTGTTGTGGATCAACACTAATAGAAACACTAAAGGAATCCTATTCAAAGTTCCCTTTCGTATGGGAACTCCTACGTCTCGTCGGAGGAGTTTCCAACGAATTGGGATCACGCTAGGGAGACCAATTGCCTTCGAGTGAATTAAAACGAGCCAATAAATATTGGCATGCGGGATTTGCATTCCGCATCCCGCCTATCAATGCGGGTATAAAAGCGGAAGCGAACGCACATACCATTGCTTTTAGCTTCGGAGCCGAACTTAGTGTCCTCTGAGTGATGAGCTACAAAGATTGGTTTGATATCTTCACGCTCAACGAGTCTGCTGTTCCAGGAAGAGCCTTTCTGTGTTGGTGTGACGGCGCTTCAGTGATCCTCGCGATCTCCCGGTGTCAGCTGTTGCTTCACGCGATCTGCCTTGTTTTCAAAGAGCTGTTGTAACAGCTGGTATTTGGTTGAGTGCGCGCAGCGGGCTTGCAGTTTCCCCGCTGTGTTGCCGCGTTGGTCCCTGTGTGTCTCGACACAATAAGAGAGCGTTTCTTTTCTGAAAGAGCAACACGAGTGAAGTTCGCGTCCTTTTCAGGATGACGTTTCACCCGTGTGTTTCTGGATGCGGTCAACTTCTGCCTCCGGCTGATGGTCGCGATCGCTGTGTCACGTGCTTGGGCCTCGCGCACGCTGAAGCAGCGTTCGTGGATGAGTCATGTTCTCATTGCGGGAACATGACCGTCGCGGTGTTGAGACTAAGACTGCGATCCCTCACCAGTTGTTCTTCTGGTTCACTCCAGAAGAAAGCTACTTCAGCTGATCCCATTGGTGGTCTGAGGGTTACAGTGAGGAATGATCTGCCGGGTGAAAGACCCCCTCGGACATCCCACTCCTCTTCAGCCGTGCCACTGGGGTCTTCGGAGGAGCGTGCTGGGTCATCACGTGTGGCTCCAGTCGTTCCTTCGGGGCCCCTCCGGAGGACCAGATGTCGATCGAGGCATCGGAGGGAGATGAGTCGCGATCTGGGGATGACGACTCGGCTGCATTGCCCCCTTCGGGTGTGGTAGTGTTGTCCGAGCCTTACCCGGAGATGACACTTATGCTCGCCCGGGCGGCCGAGAAGGTCGGGCTCGTGTGGAACCCTCCACCGCGTCCCGAACCGTCTCGGCTCGACGATTGGTATCTCGGGGCGGCCCGTGCTGGTACTCAGCGCTCCGCTCCGGTTCCTTTCTTCCCGGAGGTGCATGAGGAGGTGACGAAATCTTGGTCGAACCCTCTGGCGGCTAGACTGAGGTTGACTCCCTCCTCCTCCCTCACCACTCTCGATGGCGGAGCAGCTCTGGGATACGAAGGCATCCCCCCAGTGGAGCGCGCGGTGGCGATGCAACTGTGTCCCACCTCCGCTTCCTCCTGGCGGGGTAACCCTTCGCTCCCATCCCGCACTTGTAGGTTCTCTTCCAGTCTGACTGGAAAGGCCTACTCTGCCCTGCATGCCATGGCGCTCCTGCAGGTCTACCAGGCCCAGGCGCTATGTGACATGCAGGAGGGTGGTGTCGACCCAGGGGTGCTCAAAGAGCTGCGCACGGCGACGGACCTTGCCCTACGGGCGACGAAAGTCACCGCGCGTTCCCTGGGTCGAGCGATGTCCACTCTCGTGGTCCAGGAACGACATCTATGGCTCACCCTGTCGGATATGAAGGACTCGGACAAAAACAAGTTCCTTGCTTCTCCCATATCCCAGGGTGGCCTCTTCGGCGATGTGGTGGAGAACTTCGCCCAACAGTTCTCCACCGCCCAGAAGCAGTCGGAGGTGATCAAACACATCATGCCTCGGAAGCCGGCTAGGGCTGCCCCGCCTCCGACGGTCGCGCCTCCAGGTGCTCGTCGCCGAGGGCGCCCTCCTGCCGCCGCCTCCGCCCCTGCCCAGCCCAAGCAGCAGCCCGCTAAACGACAGGGTGCCGGCCGTAGGAGAGATGCGCAGCCTGCTCAGGCCTCGTCTAAACCACCCGGCAAGAGGAAAGGTAAGCGACCCTGAGACGGGCCACCCAGAGGACGTGGTTGCTGCTCTTCAGGAGAGGGCCTCTGCACCTCTCCTTCCCCCGGAGGAGGGCCGGGTGGAGAATCTTTTGTTTCCTTTTATTTCTGTACTCAAATTCTCAATAAAAGAGCAGTTTCCGTTTCCTCTGGGTCACCCACGGTCAAGACTGGCAGTCTAGAACGACGCTCATTTGCCTCGTCACTCCCAGTCTCCTCCGTCGAAGAAGGCGAGAATGTCTGTGTGCGCCGCCACGTTGCCTCGCCACACTCATTCCGTTCGCTCCAGCGCTCAGATGCCAGTGATGCCGCCCCGGCCTCATCACTCTCGTCTGTTGTTGGCCAAGGAGGCGTGGAAGCCAGGACTCGACGCCCCTCAGCCTCGCTCCTCGTTTCCCCTCCGACCTTCGCCACGGGACACTCAGCAGTCGAACGCCCCAGAGAAAGATGGGCCTTCCCTGCTGTTTGCCCCCCGGTGGAGGCAGGTAAGTGTTGCACAACACACACAGACCCCACCTTCGGCCGCAGCAATGCCTCTGAGGGCGGGTCCCTGCCTTCCACCTCGCTGCCCCTCCGCGGGTACGCCGGTGGTCCGAGTGGGCTTGTTGGTTCAGTCTCTCGAAGCCTGGCTAGCGCTTCCGAGACCGTCCAGGTGGCTCGTTCGCACCATCCGGTTCGGCTATGCAATTCAGTTTGCCCGCCGGCCTCCCAGGTACAGGGGTGTCCTCTTCACCCAAGTGCGGAGTGGCGACGCCCCTGTCCTGAGGAAAGAGATCGTGGCCCTGCTGGCGAAGGACGCGATCGAGCCGGTCCCTCCAGCCGAGATGAGGTCTGGGTTCTACAGCCCTTACTTTATTGTACCCAAGAAAAGCGGTGGGTTACGACCAATCCTGGATCTGCGTGTTTTGAATCGGGCCCTTCACAAGCTCCCGTTCAAGATGCTTACGCAGAAACGCATCTTCGAGTGCATCCGTCCCCAGGATTGGTTTGCAGCGATCGACCTGAAGGACGCGTACTTTCATGTCTCGATTCTGCCTCGACACAGACCGTTTCTTCGGTTTGCGTTCGAGGGTCGGGCATATCAGTACAAGGTCCTACCCTTCGGCTTGGCCCTGTCGCCCCGCGTCTTCACGAAAGTCGTGGAGGCGGCCATTGTTCCCTTGAGAGAACATGGCGTTCGCATTCTCAACTATCTCGACGACTGGCTGATAATAGCTCACTCGCGAGATCTGTTGTGCGATCACAGGGACCTGGTGCTCCGGCACCTCAGCCGGTTGGGACTTCAGGTCAACCGGGACAAGAGCAAACTCTGCCCCACGCAGAGGATCTCTTATCTCGGCATGGAGCTGGACTCGGTCAGTCAGACTGCGTGCCTCACAGAGGAGCGCGTCCAGTCAGTGCTCAACTGCCTCAGGTCCTTTCGAGGCAGGTCAGCGGTCCCACTGAAGCAATTTCAGAGGCTCCTGGGGCATATGGCAGCCGCAGCCGCAGTAACGCCGCTCGGCCTGTTGCATATGAGACCGCTTCAGCGCTGGCTTCACGATCGAGTCCCGAGATGGGCGTGGCAGAGCGGCACGTTCCGGGTCAACATTACCCCGCACTGTCGCCAAACCTTCAGTCCTTGGTCGGACCCTGCCTTTCTACGGGCCGGAGTGCCCTTAGTCCAGGTGTCCAGGCATGCTGTGGTTTTCACGGATGCCTCTGCCAACGGATGGGGGGCCACGTACAACGGGCATGCAGTCTCAGGTCTGTGGACGGGGCCTCAGCTGCATTGGCACATCAATTGCCTAGAGTTGCAAGCAGTACGCTTAGCCTTGTGCCGCCTCAAGGGGCTGCTTCTGCACAGGCATGTACTAGTCCGTACGGACAGCACTGCGACCGTGGCGTACATCAACCATCAAGGTGGTCTACGCTCCCGTCGTATGTCGCGACTCGCCCGCCATCTCCTCCTATGGAGTCAGAAGCATCTGAGGTCGCTTCGGGCCATTCATATCCCTCAACCGTGCAGCCGACGAGCTCTCACGGCAGCCGCCCCTTCCGGGAGAATGGCGACTCCATCCCCAGGTGGTTCAGCTGATATGGGGAATCTTCGGAGCCGCTCAGATAGATCTGTTTGCCTCTCCGGACACAACCCATTGCCAGTTGTTCTATTCCCTGACCGGAGGGTCCCTCGGCACGGATGCACTGGCACACAGCTGGCCCCGGGGCCCACGCAAGTATGCGTTTCCCCCAGTGAGCCTTCTCGCACAGACACTGTGCAAAGTCAGGGAGGACGAGGAGCAGGTCTTGCTAGTTGCGCCGTACTGGCCCAACCGGACCTGGTTCCCGGAACTCATGCTCCTTGCGACAGCACCTCCTTGGCCCATTCCTCTGAGGAAGGACCTGCTTTCTCAGAGACGGGGCACTCTTTGGCACCCGCGTCCAGACCTGTGGAGACTATATGTCTGGTCCCTGGACGGGACGCGGAGGTTCTAGATGGCCTACCACAGGCTGTGGTAAATACCATCGCTTCCGCTAGAGCCCCCTCTACGAGGCGCCTCTATGCGTTGAAGTGGAACCTGTTCGTCGTTTGGTGTTCTTCCCGCCGGGAAGACCCCCGAACTTGCCCGATCAGTGTCGTGCTTTCCTTTTTACAAGACGGGTTGGAGAGAAGGCTGTCTCCCTCCACCCTCAAAGTATATGTGGCCGCAATAGCTGCCCATCACGATGTGATCGACGGGAAGTCGTTAGGGAAGCACGATCTGATCATCAGATTCCTTAAGGGTGCTAAGAGGTTAAATCCCCCTCGTAATTTGCACCCTGTTCCCTCTTGGGACTTAGCTCTGGTGCTGAGAGCGCTTCAAAGGCCCCCATTTGAGCCCTTAAATGATATAGAGCTAAAAGTTTTGTCTGAAAAAACTGCTCTTCTATTGGCTCTAGCTTCCTTCAAGAGGGTCGGGGATCTGCAGGCTTTTTCGGTCGACGAATCGTGCCTAGAGTTCGGACCGGGCATTTCTCACCTGGTTCTGAGACCCCGGTTCGGATATGTGCCCAAGGTTCCTACCACTCCATTTGTAGATCAGGTAGTGAACCTGCAAGCGCTGCCCGTGGAGGAAGCAGACCCAGCCCTGGCTTTTCTCTGTCCCGTACGTGCACTACGTTGTTATGTGGACAGAATGCAAAGCTTCAGGACCTCAGAGCAGCTCTTCGTCTGTTACGGAGGCCAGCAGAAGGGGAAGGCTGTCTCCAAGCAGAGGTTAGCCCACTGGCTAGTGGATGCTATCGTCCGGGCTTATGAATCCCAGGACGTCCCTTGCCCACCCAGGTTGACGGCTCACTCCACAAGGAGTGTCGCTTCCTCTTGAGCTTTGGCGCAAGGTGCCTCACTGACAGATATCTGCAGAGCTGCGGGCTGGGCGACACCTAACACGTTTGCCAGGTTTTATAGCTTACGTGTTGAACCGGTTTCCTCCCGTCTACTCGCTACGGTCAGTGGCGCAAGGGAATAGGTTCTGTCGGCTTGCTGCGCCATTCCGCCTTATGAGCTGGATCCGTGCGCCTTTTTGCTCCTTGGTTCCCCAACAAACGGGTAACCTTCTGAGCTCCTCCATCACTCCTCGGCATCAGGCGTGGCGGACCGCCTGACGCTAGGTCTATTACCTCTCTTAAGAAGTTGCTAGTAGACTGAGTGACCTTCACGATGACTTCCTCGTGATCAATTTTCCACGTTCCTGCTACTCTACGGGCTAGCTCCGTGTCTTCCCCTCGACAGACTCACTCTGTCGTCCTTGCTGAGTATGCTCCCCACCCTACGGGCTGGGACTACCTCAAGGACTCCCATATGTTTTACTACCCTACGGGCTAGTTCATATGTGTATTCAGTGCCTCCCTTCGGGCTGGCCGGGGGCTCCGCAACGTTCCCACATGGGCACGTTTCCCCAGTGTTATCCAAATCCACTGAGCGGGTCTTGCGGAACAGCAGTGTGATTTCCTCTTAGCTAGCTCCCGCCCGGAAGAAACTGAGAAACTGCTTGGAAGGGGCCAGCATCATGGCGTTTTATTTGGGATCCCAATTCGTTGGAAACTCCTCCGACGAGACGTAGGAGTTCCCATGCGAAAGGGAACGTCTCGGTTACGTATGGTAACCCTCGTTCCCTGAGTAGGGAACGGAGACGTCTCGTCCCGTCGCCATGTTTGCTGTACCTTCGCGGGGGACTGGACACCGTCCGGCTCCTCAGCGTAAAGCAATGGTATGTGCGTTCGCTTCCGCTTTTATACCCGCATTGATAGGCGGGATGCGGAATGCAAATCCCGCATGCCAATATTAATTGGCTCGTTTTAATTCACTTGAAGGCAATTGGTCTCCCTAGCGTGATCCCAATTCGTTGGAAACTCCTCCGACGAGACGTCTCCGTTCCCTACTCAGGGAACGAGGGTTACCATACGTAACCGAGACGTTTTTGTTCCTGATCTTGAGTTAAGTTTTAGTTGTTGTTTTTTACACTTAATCAAACTGTGTGTGTTTCATACAGACTCCAAGCCAACGCCACTGTCTTGTACGTGGGTAAAGTTCTACTCTGCATCGACTTCATCATATTCTGTCTACGATTAATGGCCATCTTCACTATCAGTCGAACCCTGGGTCCGAAAATAATCATTGTCAGGAGAATGGTGGGTCTGCATGTTCATAAAGTTAATTTCTTCAGTTCAGATATGTTCAGCAATAGTTCTGAGTGTTGAGAGACTAAGGGCGTTTTCACACCTGAAAGTCCGCACCAAGGTCCGAACCAAAGTTCACGTTTTGATACATTTTATACTTTCAGATAGTTTTGGTTTGGTTTCACACTGCAATAATGCGAGCGAGCGCACTAAAGAACTTTACGTGACACACTTGCGTCCTGTCATCATCATAGACAGTATAAGAAGTGGACAGAGCCATCTCATTGGAACTCAGTTGAGACAGTTGAAGCCCATTTTTAGCGATTTTTGAGCACTTCCGTTCCTGACGCGCAGACTCAAACCGACTCAAACTAAGCTTGATGACGTGAGCAACCTGTCTGACAGACGTTAATCTTCTAGTAGCTGTGCGTGAAAATTGCCAACGTTAATCTTGCAGAGACGGGGAACTTGAGCAAAGAGTTCTTTGGCGTGAGTGAGCAGGAGGAAGTATTCCGTTGCTTTTATGGACTCATTATCTATGGGCTTCTCCCTTGACGGGACATCCCCCCGATTGCCTGCGAGCTTCTCCTCCTGTCTGTACGGTAATTTCTGTACAGCGCGACAGAGAGTCGAGTGGTTATGACGCAATCAATAGCCTATTTTTACAAAATCTGTTTCTACGGGGCCATAATGTAACATAGAAGGTAATGGAGCCCTTTATACATTGTCGTGTTTCTTTAGAAATAAATAATGGACAAATGGAGTCTTTAAACGCCTCAGATGTAAAGTTATTCGCTGTCAAAGTGACGCCAAAATGAATGGGAGTCAATGGAAATGCTAACGCAAGTGAAGTTCTGCTACAACATGGCGGCACCCGGCCGGCTTCAACTTCCGGTCGATGGATTACCCCCTTGGTCATCATCATCTATGTGGGCTGCATCTTGACATTGATTGCTTTGTAAATGGACGTGCGTCTGACGTCAGCGTGTCGTCAATTCGGCGGGTAGCGAAGGGTTACCCCGCCAGGAGGAAGCGGAGGTGGGACACAGTTGCATCGCCACCGCGCGCTCCACTGGGGGGATGCCTTCGTATCCCAGAGCTGCTCCGCCATCGAGAGTGGTGAGGGAGGAGGAGGGAGTCAACCTCAGTCTAGCCGCCAGAGGGTTCGACCAAGATTTCGTCACCTCCTCATGCACCTCCGGGAAGAAAGGAACCGGAGCGGAGCGCTGAGTACCAGCACGGGCCGCCCCGAGATACCAATCGTCGAGCCGAGACGGTTCGGGACGCGGTGGAGGGTTCCACACGAGCCCGACCTTCTCGGCCGCCCGGGCGAGCATAAGTGTCATCTCCGGGTGAGGAGGGTCCCCGAAGGAAACGACTGGAGCCACACGTGCTGGACCCAGCACGCTCCTCCGAAGACCCCAGTGGCACGGCTGAAGAGGAGTGGGATGTCCGAGGGGGTCTTTCACCCGGCAGATCATTCCTCACTGTAACCCTCAGACCACCAATGGGATCAGCTGAAGTAGCTTTCTTCTGGAGTGAACCAGAGGAACAACTAGATCGGGGGATCTCCAAAGGGACTCCCCCTCTGGTGAGGGATCGCAGTCTTAGTCTCAACACCGCGACGGTCATGTTCCCGCAATGAGAACATGACTCATCCACGAACGCACGTCCATTTACAAAGCAATCAATGTCAAGATGCAGCCCTATACTTCTGCATAATGTGTCTCTTTTTACAACAAAAATGTGAATTCTGCTGGTAATCAGACAGTCTCATGCATACAGATACAGATTCGGTCTACAATCGCCTACGTAGGCGAAATTAGTTTGACGTTTCTAATCGTAAACACCGCCATGTTGAAGCTTGCGGTGATGTTGTTCACTGATGTTATGGGTGTCCACTCTGCTTATTGTTTTTCCAGAATGTTGCACTCCTGTTTGTCATTGTACACGAAACTTTACGCCAATAAATCATCAGAATTATTGCTGACTTGTGCGTCTCAAGCGCCCTCTTTACGCTCGTCCTAATGCCTGTTAGGTGTCCGTGGATTTGCCTATATTTGGTGTTGAAAATGGAAACGTCTTTAGACATGGAAAATCGATTTTACATTCGATTCAATGAACACTTATGTCTCAAAAATCAATCAGGATTTTTTCACAAAAGTGACAGCCCTAGCGCACATCAAGCAAAAATGTTTTTCCATAAAAGCAAATACAGACAGACTGAACTATGAATGTGCATCTTTTCCCGTTTAATTTTGTGTCCTCTCATATTCTCTCTTTGCAGATGATGGATTTGTTCTTCTTCATGTTTCTGCTCAGTATCTGGGTGGTGGCGTACGGCGTGGCGAAACAGAGCATTATGATCGACAATGAAGAGAGACTAAACTGGATCGTCCGTGGAGCCGTCTATGACCCCTACCTCATCATATTTGGCAACTTCCCCACTAATATAGACAGTGAGCAGTTTACTCTAAATTTAATCAAATCAAATTATAATTTTTTTTTGCAATAACATATGAAAATTGAAGATGTGCCTGCTGTGAGCTCCAGGAGTTTATTTTTTTAAATGTTTAATTGTCAAATTCCCACTAAAGAAGAACTGTGTCAATCTCAGTACACTGTCAAATAACGTATAGATTTGCATATATAGAATAGAATAGACTTTAATTGTCATTGTCGAAATTTGCTTATGCAACCTCTAAAACAATACTCACTTTCACAAAGCCCAAGCCCACCAGGTGAGAAAAAGTAGCGTAATGCATTACTTTCATAAAAAGCAACCTAATTAGTTACTTTTTAGGGAGTAACACGTTATTGTGACGCAACTTTCCCCAACACTGGTTATAAAATTATATTATAAAATATTGCATATGCAATAATAATGCAAATGTGCTTTGTTTTTTGTTTTTATTGTAACATTGTAGAACATTCAGAAGTCCAGAGATTTATACAAAATATAGAGAAATCAGATAGCTAATAGGGCTGGGTAAAAAATATCGATTTCTCGATTTTAATCGATTCTCATTTTTACGAACCGATATCGATCCTTAAATCTCAAGAATCGATTAGTCATCCTGTTTTCAGTTGACGAATGAATGGAACATTGTAGCGCTCATCCCATCCAATAAAGCGCAATAATCTTTGTGCTTTGTTACTATTGATATGAAACAAAGTCTCAGATTTCTAAGTACGTCCATTTTCTTACGAAATTCAAAAACATAAATAGCGTTTTGTCGCTGTGGCGTGAGATCGCTCTGGCGCCGCTCAAGAGAAGCACATGATCTCCTCTTCTGCCTTAATACCGGTTACAGCGCGAAATAAACATGAATGAGCTTCTGAAAGTGTGTTAAAAGACAGAGTACAACTTATCGAAATCCGTATCATGTCACATGGAATCGCTCAATCAGTGTTTCAACCGTGGAAAGACGTAAGTCAAACAACTTGTAAACAATGTCATGTGACGTCACATTTACCTCAGAAAAAACATATCTAGTGACCATAAACTCGTTAGCTAGAAAAATGAACTCTAGAGAGATTTTGCTAAATATATTATGCACCATATTACATATTCATTATAATTTTTAATGTTCTTCAATATTTAATGTATGCTTGAATAAATCTGGCAAGTTTTTATGACAGCAACATTTAAATGTTTATATTTCATATAACTTCATTATTATAAAAATAAATAAAAGTGTAATTTAAGTGTTTGTACACAAATCAGTATATCACCAATATTATAGTCGGCTAATGAAGCCTATAGGCTACAACTGACTCCCATAGTTTACAGCATTAGTTAAGAGATTTGTTTTCCTTGAGAAAATTTGCCATGTATTGTACCTGCTATCCAAAATAATCAATATTGCATCGAATCGAATCAAAATCGAATCGAATTGCAAGCTTGTGAATCGAAATCGAATCGAATTGTGAAATTTGTATCAATACCCAGCCCTAATAGCTAACATATATCTCTGTTTGCAAACCAGACACTCAGTTTGATAAGAGCAGCTGCAGTGTGGACGCCACTGACCCTCTGAAGCCCAAATGCCCCGTGCTGAACGGCGATAACCTGCCGATGTTCCCCGAATGGCTGACCATCATCATGCTGTGTGTCTATCTGCTGTTCGCCAACATTTTGCTGCTCAACCTCCTCATCGCTATCTTCAAGTGAGTAAACAAATGGTAGTAAAAAAAAAAAAAGCCGACTTGATGCCGCCTTCTTCTTCTTATTTCCAATTTTACGGCGGTTGGCATCCAGCTTTTTGGTGCATTACCGCCCCCTCTACTCCGGAGTGTGGATCAAATACTATAATTACAAAATATCATTGTCCATTCTCTTTCCTACACTTACATAACCTTATTTCCCTTCAAATAAACACTCACATACACAACAAACTTTATTTATCAATTAAATCCTATTAAAAACTCCCGCCTCCCTTAAAAAAGACATCAATATCCTATTCTGCGTCCCATTTACTGCTCTTAATAACCCTTTTAATGTAATCTCTTGCACCCCAATCTGCCTCGACTTATTCTTAATCACCTGCCTCTGCATTTCATATCTCCTACACCTCATAATTATGTGCTCCACTGTCTCCTCTTCTTGACATCCCTCACACAACCCTGTCTGGTGCTTCCCTATCATCTTTAGTGTTTTATTCAGCGAACAGTGACCCAACCTTAACCTCGTCATCACAGCCTCTTCTCTCCTATTCCCACCCTATCCTGACTTGATGCCTTCTGTCTGCATGCACTCTTTATAGGCAGCAACTCTGAATCTACTGTACATTTAGTGCATCTTTTGTGAGACTTATTTCATAAAATAGTACATTTGTATGAAATATTTATTTAATGTTGAACAATTATTTATGTATTTGTTTGTTTATTGTTTTATTTAAGCACACAAATATGTTTATTTAACATAAGCATGTCTCTATATATGTGAGAGTGAGTAATTATCTTAAATATAAGTGTGTGTGTGTGTGTGTGTGTGTGTGTGTGTATATATGTATATATAGGGTGAATTCAGTTTGATTGGGACACTTTTTCTTTTTCCCAGTCAGTAAGTAAACAGACTGAAAAAGTTGAACAAAAACACTTATAATAATAATATTATATAATTAATATAATAATTTCCCAAATAATACATTTTTATTCAATGTAATTATTTATTTAATGTTGAACAATCATTTATGTATTTGTTTATTTGTTTAAGCACACAATTATCTGGTTCTTTAATATATACATATATTTGTGTGTGTGTGTGTGTGTGTGTGTACATGTGTTTGTTTAACCTTGAAAATGAATATTTGTGCAAATAGTTGTATTTCTTCTTGGCCATAATACACACACAGACACAGACACACACACACACACACACACACACACACATAGACACACACAGACACACACACACACACACATAGACACACACACACACACACACAGACACACACACACACAGACACACACACAGACAGACACACACACAGACAGACACACACACAGACACACACACACACACACACACACACATTTAGGGTTTTAAACTCTATCTTTGCATCACAGCTACACGTTCCAGGAGGTTCAAGACAACACGGACACCATCTGGAAGTTCCAGCGTTACGAGTTGATTAAGGAGTATCACAGTCGACCTGCTCTTCCTCCACCCTTCATCCTCCTCAGTCACCTCATCCTCTTCATCAGAGGAGCGTTGCAGCGGGACCCTTCAGAGAGACACAAGCACTTCAGTGAGTGTTGGGCCAGGACCGCACTACAGCCACAAAACCTCTGTTACTGAAAACACACACATGACGCAGCAGATCACTGATGTTCGTTAGTCTAGATCAGACTATGAGCAGACAGTCTGGTCCAGTTTATGCAGTGCATTAGCGCACGCATCCTTTTTCAGCTGCACTGGTTCCAGAAGTATTTTTTCCATTCATTTTTTCCATAGGGATTTTAAAACAAATTAAAGGAGTAGTTCACTTCAGAGTTAAAATGTCCTGATAGTTTACTCTCCCCCACATCATCCAAGATATTCATGTCTTTCTTTCTTCAGTCGAAAAGAAATGAAGGTTTTTGAGGAAAACATTCCAGTATTTTCTCCATATAGTGACTTCAATGGGGTCCAACGGGTCGAAGGTCCAAATGTGAGTTTCAGTGCAGCTTCAAAGTCTCGACACGATCCAGCCGAGGAATAAGAGTCTCATCTAGACAAACCAGCGGCCATTTTGAAAAAATAAATAAACTTTTATATTCTTTTTAAGCACGAATGTTCATCTTGCACTAGCTCGATGCGCCACACATTATGTAATCACCCTGAAAGGTCACGCGTGGTTTAGGCGGAAGTGCAAAGACTAAGGGCCTGTCCCAAATGGCACACTCCGGACTTGTGGACTTCCTCAGAGTCCACACTTCGGTGACGTCATGTAGTGCAGACCTATAAGGCTCTTAGCGCGAGTCCGCGAGGGCGCATTGAGAGGTATTTTTGGGACAGACTCGATCGTCACGCCGGTAACCGGAAGACGGTCTGATTGTTGTTATGGACAGGAGCTACAGGTTCGGGGAAATATGCGGCCTATTGTTGTTGTGTTTACACATGACTCAGTAAAGCCCTGACATTCTGTTCTATTTATTTAATGAATCATAATGCGATTGTATTATTCAGCTCGCTATCATTAGCCTATGTTTGAGACATCAACCACTGGTCGATGATCATAATGTTTGTATAAACTTGTCATAAAAACCGTAATGATAATTACACTTAAATATTTTCTTCTCAGCCATGTTAACAATTGTCCGTGAGCGAAATCTCCTCCCATCCGTCGTCTGATTGGCCTTCCGCAAGGATTCCTGGGTAGTTAAAGTGCGTGGAGCCTGCATCTATGCGGGCTTCGTGGAAGACCGCTTCAAGGGTACACAGGGGGCGCTGCTGAGCACACTTCAGAGCGTTAAAATGCTAAATGGGACGGCCTACGGACTCGCAGACTCGGCGAGCACGCGCAATTTAAGTCCACGAGACCGAAAGTCCACATGAAGTGCGCCATTTGGGACAGGGCCATAGTCAAACGCCATTTACAAAAAAATAAATAAAATAAAAGGTAAAACAACGATGTCGGCTGGATCGTGTCGAGACTTTGAAGCTGCACTGAATCTGGACCTTCGACCCGTTGGACCCCATTGAAGTCACTATATGGAAAAACATCCTGGAGTGTTTTCCTCAAAACCTTAATTCCTTTTCGACTGAAGAAAGAAAGACATGAATATCTTCGATGACGTGGGGGAGAGTAAATTATCAGGACATTTTAATTCTGAAGTGAACTACTCCTTTAGTAAGCGATGATTTGAACCATGAAGCACTGCGAACAACATAATCGGATTAACTTTAGGCAGATTCTGACTTGCATTGCATTCAATGTTTACATTTTATCCCTGGAAATCAAATCCCAAACAAGTTCTACTGTTTGAGATACATCAACAAAGCTTATATTTCTTATATTTTTAATGTCCTGATCACTTTAAAAAACTGCGTTAAATGTCTAAATCCCTGGTTTAAGTACGTGGTTCTGCACAGGGCAGGAACTAGAGCAGACCGAGGAAGAGGAGCTGTTGTCCTGGGAGGCTTTCATGAAGGACAACTATCTGGTATCTACACGACAGGACGAGAGCCAGAGCGTGGAGCATCGTATCCAGGACACCGCAGAGAAGTAACTCAGAGAAGCACAAGACTTAAATAAGACATGAAACAGAACAGCTCATGGGCTCTATCTTGCACCCGGCGCAAATGACTTTGTACACTGACGCATGTATCATTCCTATTTTGCACCCGCGCAAAGCGGACTTTTCCCTCCACAGACGCACGTCGGTTAACTAAGAAATACACTTGCGCTCCCCGGGGCGGTTCAGCGCAAAGAGGAGGCGTGTTCCGGCGCAAACCTTCCCTCATGCTATTTTGCAGTTCCAGAAAACAATTGCACCACTGACCAGAAAAAACCTAGTCTAAAGTCAGTGGCGCGTTGCGCGTTGTTCATTATGCTATTTTAAGGGCGCATGCTTGACCATAATGTAGCGGGTGCACAACGCGCATACACTTTGATTCTCTCATCTAAGCAGCAGTTTTCATTTTTGCAAATCATACATTATTACGATAGATAGATAGATAGATAGATAGATAGATAGATAGATAGATAGATAGATAGATAGATAGATAGATAGATAGATAGATAGATAGATAGATAGATAGATAGATAGATAGATAGACAGACAGACAGACAGATAGACAGACACATTTACCCAAATTATACGCCTGTTTAACAGAAGTTAATTTGGGTGGGTTTCTCCATCCCAATGTCACTTCTCTGTGTTTTACGGCCCTGACGAGAACGTTGCTCTCCTCGGCTGTGAACCGCTCCTGGCGCGCGCCTGGTAAATCCGCCGTTATAATAGCAATCCGCCATGCAACATGCGCGCGCGCCTGCTCTTAAAGGGAATGTGAGATGACGCTCTGATTGGTTTATTTCACGTTACGCCCAAACCACACCTATGAATAATGAAGCTACTTCAGGCCAACCCCTTTTAGATTTGCGCCAGGCGCAAGAGGCATTTATCCCGCCGGGAAAATAGCAACAGCGCCGGGATCCGCCCACAAAGTTACTTGCGCTTTACGCTTTGACACTTGCGTTTCAGATCGTTAAAATAGGGCCCTATATGTTTGAGTACTGAATTTGATTTGAGGAAACTATGAATCAACTTTTGAGTATGAGGAAGGGCGGAGTAATGGTCTGAAATGTTAGGGGGAGGAGCTTAAAGCGTTAGTTCTCCCAGAAAATGTAAATTATGTCATTAATGACTCTCCCTCGTGTTGTCACAAGCCCGTCAGACCTCCGTTCATCTTCAGAACACAGTTTAAGATATTTTAGATTTAGTCCGAGAGCTTTCTGTCCCTCCACTGTAAGTGTATGTACGGTATACTGTCCTTGTCCAGAAAGGAAATAAAGACATCATCAAAGTAGTCCATGTGACATCAGTGGGTTAGTTAGAATGCAAATAATTGTATTTCTTCTTGGTCATAATACACACACACAGACAGACACACAGACACACACACACAGCTGTGTTTTTGTGATTTGTGAGGACATTCCATAGGCGTAATGGTTTTTATACTGGACAAACTGTATATTCTATGCCCCTATCCCTAAACCTACCCATCACAGGAGACATGCTGCATTTTTACATTTTTAATAAAACACTGCTTAGTGTGTTTTTAAAGCCATTTGAAATATGAGGACTCAGGAAATGTCCTCATTTTTCCGAGTGTCCTCATATTGAAGGTGTGTTATCATAAAAATGTCCTCAGTTGTCATGAAAACAAGAGCACACAGACACACACACACACACACACACACACACATATTTAGGGACTTGGGACGACATGAGGGTGAGTCATTAATGACATCATTTTCATTTTTGGGTGAACTAACCCTTTAATATATTATTCTAATTCTAATAATTCTTAAAGTCATGAATATTAATTACCGGTATGTGACATGATATTCCTTCCTGATTTGCTAAAAGGCAGAGATGGATTAAGTACACAACATGTTTAATAATACAATTATTCAGGTATTTTCTCACTCAAGAATAAATTTAAGAACTTTTTTTTTATTACAAAAAAACATTTTTTTAAGAATGATTTTATATTTCTTTTCTTAAGATGGTCCTAATGGCAAAACTTAAAGGGGCTATATGTAAGAATTTTCATTTATTAATTGCTTTTTTATTCCCAATGAGTGAACAGCTTGCAACTAACATGAAGGGGGGAAAAAATGAAGTTACTATTTCGACCACTAGCTGTCATTCTTACAGACTGCACCTTTAAACCTGGGTTTTCCTCTCAGGGTCGGAGCGATGTCAGAACTTCTGGAGGGGGAGCAGGAGATGGTTTCGACCACGATGGCAAAACGACTTTCTAACCTTGAAGAGCAGGTGTCGTTCTGCCACAAACACTCACAAATACACACCATAAATATTGTTTTGCAGTCAGTTTGTTCTGTTCATTATTTCAGGCAGCATGTCAAAGCAAATGTGAATGTCAGATGGTGAATCTCTTGTCTTCTGGCAGGTCTCAGAGTCTGGCAAAGCTTTACGATGGATTATAGATGCGCTGAAATCTCAGGGATGCAAATCCAAAATGCAGCCGCCGCTAATGAGTAAGCAGAGTGTGTTTAAGATCAGCTCTTATTAGATGCATGCATCCTTTTTCATACTCATGATCTGTCCTTATAAGTTCATTAAAGTATTAGAGACACAATATTTTTTGGTAATGAGATCTTACATACACTACTGTTCGAAAGTTTGGGATCAAGTCTTAATTCTGCATTTAATCAAAAATTCAGTAAAAACACTAGTTTTGTGAAATATTATTATAATTTAAAATTTATATTTGAATATATGTTAAAACATATTATATTCCTGTGATCAAAGCTGAATTTTCAGCATCATTACTCCAGTCTTCAGTGTCACATGTTCCTTCAGAAATCACTCTAATATGATGATTTGCTGCTCATGAAACATCTCAGATTATTATTAATGTTGAAAACAGTTGTGCTGCTTTACATTTTTGCAGAAACCATTATATTATTTTTCAGGATTCTTTAAAAAATTTGTTAAAAACAGCATTTATTTGAAATAGACTATTTTGTTAGCCGGGTTAAAACCAGACCATTCTCAGTTGTAACTGAGTTATGGTCTGGCAAAGCGTCATAGACAAATCATTTCCAGAGGGGCATCACCAACGGACGTCGCGGATAGACCTAAACCCAATCAGAGCGATGAAGGAGATGACGTATGCAGAACGGCGGAGAAACATCTCCGAGTGTTGTTCTTTGCTCGGTTTTTAACAAAAAGGAAACGTACAAACCGCTTAAAACAGACGTGATAGCTGATTCGAACGAGTGATGTTCGACGGCGGCATCCATCTTTGTAATGTAGGCTACAAAATCTGCTTCAAAATCCCAGCGCTGTCGTCATCGTGTAAAGCCCGCCCCAACGCTTCTGATTGGTGCCTCGATTTCGACGGATTGGAAATGGGCTTGAATGAGCTCTTTGCCAGACTAACTTTCAGAGCAAATCTAAATTTGCCGGAAGTTGTCTGGGTTCTCTTACGAGAGGTTCTCTCATATTGCGTAAGCTAGCTTACGCTACGGGAAAGATGAATCTTTTCTGAGAAATTGAAGCCAAAAAATTATTGCAGCAGACCATGAGCGGGCTAGCTAGCAGCTCATTGGTTCGCTCACAGAGAACTGCTTAAGCCTATGAGGAGACGCGAATGAACTCTCGGCCAATGAGAGTCTGACATGCTCTCATTACGTCAGAGCCCGCCGAAACGGGCGTGGTCAGAGAGAATAACACTGGCGTCCTAGGCTGTAAACTCTGATTTTCATCTCTTCAGTGAGGCTACACGCATCTGCTGATCCTGAGAGAAGCCGCCGTCGTCGAAAAGGCAACTCTAGCGAGCATCTGGGAGACTGAGGAAGCCGGCAGTCTTCGCCACCTTCAGCCGTCCTGCGAGCTAGCGCCATCCGACGGATTTGTATCCTTTTTACAAAAAGCTTCCTGTACATTTTGTATCTAAAAGAGCCGAGCGTCTTTTTAAAGATGTCTCGTAAATCTTCCTGCGGTTCTTGCCGCGCTCCCCTCGAGATTGGAGACCGCCACGTCATCTGCGCTCTCTGCCTCGGATTGGAGCACGCCGAGCTCGCCCTCGCCGATGGCGGCTGCGATCTCTGCGAAGACATGCCGTTGTCGACCCTGCGGGCTCGTCTTCAGGCCACTAAAGTTGCTTCCGCGCCGCCTCTGACTTCGCCGCGGATGAAGAAACGCCACTCTCAGAGGCCGCCGGAACCCCGTGCCAGAAGCGTTCATCCCGCCGGAGCCTATCGCCTCCCGCTCTCCTTCTCCGCCGCTTCCGGACATACAGTTGCCGCCGAGTGGCCGCTCTGTCGCCTCCGATGACGCCGCGGACATCAAGGAAACATGTTCGCTTCTCAGTGAGGAATGGTCCGGTTCTCACGCCTCCTCGGCCCGAGAATCCTCCGGGACCCGCGCTGGAATCGAGGAGGAATTAATGCGCCTCCTCTCACAGGCCGTCGAACGCCTCGGGCTCGATTGGTCTCCTCCCCCCGAGCAGACCATCAACCGTATGGACAGCAGCTACTTCCGCCAGCGCTCGACTCCCGGCACTAAACGGGCCGCGCCCTTCCTGCCTGAACTGCACGCGGAACTCACGAAGTCCTGGAACGCCCCGCTCTCTGCTAGAACTCGTTCCGACTCTTCCACCCCGCTTCGCGTTGTGGACGGAGCCGCAGAGAAGGGTTATCTCTCCATTCCCCCTGTAGAGGACTTGGTCGCCGCACATCTGTGCCTGCCCTCCGCGAGATGGCGCTCATCACCTGTGCTCCCCTCTAAAGCCTGCAGAGCGACTTCAAGCTTTCACGCCCGCGATTACTCAGCCGCCGGCCAAGCAGCCTCTGCACTTCACTCCATGTCCGTCCTTCAGATACTACAGGGTGACATACTTCGTGAATGGGACGAGAGCGGAAAAAAAACCCTTCAGTCGCGGATTTGAGGAGCGCCACGGACATTGCCCTTCGCGCTACAAAATGTGCTGCTCAAGCTCTGGGGAAATGCATGGCCGCCATTTGTGTGTCTGAGAGACATTTGTGGCTCAGACTCGCCGACATGGGAGATTCTGAGCGCGCCGCCTTTCTCAACGCCCCGCTCTCTCCATCCGGCCTCTTCGGGATCTGCTGTCACGGGTATCGTCGACCGATTTTCCGAAGTGCAGAAAGCCTCCCAGGCCATGAATCTCTTTCTGCCTCGTCGCGCTAGCTCCTCTGCAGGCCGCTCACGTGACCAGCCTCCTGCTCGAGCCCCACCCCAGCGCCCAGCTCAGCACAGTCAGACTTCTCAGCGACGCCAGGGCGGCCGCCCTCGTTCTCGCTCTGACAGCCGCCACAGACCGCCGCCTCATCGGGGGCCTCGGCCTAGGATTGCGCTGAAACCCGATGACTCGAAGTCTGCCTAGCACAGCTGAGAAAAAGGCGGCGCTCTCCCGCCGCGGCCGGACCGCCGTCAAAGTTTCACCCTCTGTTAGTCCCTGCTCACGCGGCTACTACAGCAGTGTACTCCGCCATTACCAAGCCGGTCTCCCTTCCCGCTTGCATGAGCACAAACGCCGTTTTCACGGCGACCCAGAGAAATCTCATAAGGAGCATAAAAGCCTCCTGTGTAGAAAATGTGCCCACAACACTGTGTTCACTCATACACAAAGCGCTTCAGTTCCCGTGTCTCACACAGAGTCCACTCTCATAAAGCGGTTCCAACCCGCTCGAGTTTCAGAGTCCCACCTCTGCTCACTCTGTTACACGGCCCATAAACTCCTCTCCGAGTGTAAGTCCCGCTGTTATAAACACTATGAGCGCGCTCACGCAGCCCGCTATGTGCAGCGACGGGGACCATGTAGCCATTCACCCTCTAGCGTTACGCTTCAAAGCGTGGGAAGCTATTCCGGGAATTCCCCAGTGGGTGCTAAACACAATAAAGCTAGGCTATCGCTTACAGTTCCACCGCCGCCCTCCACGTCTTCGAGCGCGGCTAGAAACTATTGTGAACCCAGAAGCAGTGACGCTGCTCCGTTCAGAGATAGCAAAGCCATTGTGCAAAAGGGCTATAGAGAGAGTTCCTCTGTCTATGAGCGAGTCGGGGTTTTACGGACGTTATTTTCTGGTTCCTAAGAAAGACGGCGGCCTCAGACCAATCTTAGACCTCAGATTTCTTAACAAAGTTCTCATGAAGAGACCGTTCAAAATGCTCACTATCAGAAAACTCCTCACGCATGTGCGCCAGGGGGACTGGTTCATTTCACTAGATCTGAAAGATGCTTATTTTCAGATTCAGTAAAATCCCCTTCACAGGTCATTCTTACGTTTCGCCTTCGAAGGCCAGGTTTATCAATACACCGTCCTTCCGTTCGGCCTATCCTTTAGCACCCCGTACATTCACGAAGTGCATGTATGCGGCGCTCGCCCCCCTGCGGAGTCAGGGGCTGCGAATACTGAACTATTTGAACGACTGGCTGATTTTGGCACAATCACAGAGAGAGCTACTGTCTCATCGTACAGTTCTCCTCGACCATCTGAAAGCTTTGGGCCTCTCTGTCAACTGGACAAGAGCGCACTACAACCCAGTCAGACTATCTCCTTCTTGGATATAGAGCTAGACTCGGTCACGATGACGGCTCGTCTGTCAACACAGCGCGCGCGCCGTGTTCAGCGTCTCGCCGCATCTTTTCAGATGAACAGACTCACACCTCTGAAAGCCTCCGCGGTGCTCCAGCTGGGGTTACTGCGCATGCGCCCGCTTCAGCTCTGGTTGAAGAGCCGTGTGTCTCACCGCGCGTGGACCACGGGCCGCCAGCTGATAAATGTAGCGCAGACCTGTATCACAGCTCTGCAGCCATGGACTGTGGCAGAATGGTTTCAGCGGGGCGTTTCCATGGGGACCCTTTCTCGCCGAAAAGTCATCTCGACAGACGCATCCAACACGGGTTGGGGTGCGGTCTGCGAGGGCTCACCGGCCTTCGGCCCCTGGTCAGCTCAGGAGAGCCTCCTCCACATAAACTGTTTGGAGATGCTGGCGGTCGAGAACGCGCTCACGCGCTTTCTTCCGCGCATTCACGGTCACCACGTGCTGTTCCGTTCGGACAATATAGCCGTGGTCTCCTATCTAAACCGTCAGGGGCGGAGTCAGATCCAGGAATCTCTTCCGGCTGACAGAACGCATCTTAGTTTGGGCTCAGTATCACCTGCTCTCTCTCAGAGCGACGCACGTGCCGGGCCATCTGAACGACGGTCCAGACAGTCTGTCCAGGAACCCCATTCCCCCCGGGGAATGGTCCCTGCACACTCTTACAGTCCAAAAGCTGTGGCGAATATTCGGCAGAACAGAGGTGGACCTCTTCACCTCAGAAGAGAACACCCACTGCCCAATATTTTTCTCAAAGAGCGAGGACGCGCTAGCCCAGACCTGGCCCAGCCGTCCGCTTTATGCATTCCCTCCGGTTTCTCTGCTACCACAGGTGCTTCAGAGAATCAGGGAAACACGCCACTCGGTGCTCCTCATAGCCCCGCGTTGGGAGGGTCAGACTTGG